GCATGGCACTTTATTCCATCACTTATGTCCGAAGCACCTGCCTGCAGGCGGCGCAGGACTACTCACATCGACTTGAAATTTACGTTCTGGAGGCGCGAGCGCGGGAAAGGGGGAGATCGCCGAGGCCGAGCAGTGCAATCGCCATCGCCATCGCCATCGCCAATGCAAGCAAGTCGTTCGCCATCGCCATCGCGAAGAGCAATGCGAGTGCAAGCAAGTCGTCCGCGACATCGCCAGCCACTGTTTGCCGTCATCGCGCTCGTTTCTGTTTCGGGTCCATAGATAGGTACGTAGAGCTGAGGCCCGTTCATCCATGGCTTCGAAAATCGTAAGGACCCTCACTGCTATGGTACTTGTAATCCTATCTGGCGGGAGCATAGGCCGTCAGATCCCCCCGATGAGGGTGTGGGAGCAGGAGGAAGCGGAGCGGTGTCGTGCTGTCTTCCGCTTCTCTACTCATCCACGAGAGAACGGAAGAGAAGCGATGGCGGCATCCGCTCAGAGCGTCTTTTGGCCTAAAGCGACGCCTGAGTCTTCTTCTCCGTCTTCTTTGTCCAGCCTGGCGTCCTCTGCYTCAAGTTCACCTCCCCCGGTTCATGATGCCCTCCTGCCACCGACTCGTGTGTCTAGGTCGCCTCCCCCCTCGGGTAGTCTGCCAGAGGCGTCATCCCTCCCTCCTCCTCCCCCTCCTCCGCCTCCTCCTCCTCCTCCTTCATCAACACTGCTCTCAGACCGTGCACCTCAGCCGCAATTGGATTGTGATTCCCTAATRCTCAACCGATCTCTTCTGATTGGCTGCAGGATTGTTCTCGTCCATCCGATTCCGCCAGCCTTCGCTCCCAGGCCTAACACCAGCGAGAAATGTGTCAATTTTATCCACAACATAGTTTTCGCAGAAGATGGGCTCGAATTTTACTACGTCTTTAATCCCTATTGCATGAAGGGTGAGAACACAGTCAGGGAGGTTATTTCCATAATGKKGTCCAATCTCTCTGCAGTGAAACAGGGGGGCTCGCAGCTTGCAATCGGCAGGTTGATTAGTCACTCATGGCTGGCGTCCGCCCCTCAAGGCGCGCCTCCTTCGGCCCCAGTGACGTGGAGGGATGACGTGTCTGTGCCGTCCCACGCGCACGTGTCTGGCATGGACACGTCGAAGATGGGAAAGCACCTCCTACTCACGGCCATGACGTACGATGGCGGCGATCTCTCGTGGATCGTTSCCTTGGATGTCGTTAACGGCAGCCGTAGATCGTTCCCCATCCGCGCAACCATGGCCAGTGGATTGGCATTCATTCCCAACAAGACGCGTCTGTTCGTAAGCGATGAGTCCGATCCGTCTCAGATACTGACGGCGGAGATTCCCGATCCCGACTCAGATCCTCCCCCTCCTCCCCCCAGTGGGGGTGGGGGGCCGGTATCAACGGAGATCGCCTTTCGATTCGATAGATCTACGGTAGGATCCGCATGGATCGGGCCGTACAGCTTTAATCGGGACGGCAGTTGCCTGTATATCGTCGACCCCAAGGGCAACAGAGTATGGGGACTAGAACCCGCGTCTTCCCGCGTGCGCGTTATCAGTAGGAGGGAGGGGGATGCCAGTGATTCTGCCCATAGCACCGTGCTGTTGGAACCAGATGAGGCGTTCAAAGAGATTGCGACTACCTCCGATGGCCTCCACRTGTTCGTCACTGATTCGTTCGGTCAATTGTTCTGGATAACGATGGAGTCCCCCTGCGGGAGACCTTTGGCAGCGACAGCCATCGCCAGATATGGWAGTGCACGTTTGTGGGGATTAGCGCTTCTTGAGCAGCCGAACGGCGTGCTTCTTCTGTACGTCGGGACCGGCGGTGGTCGCATCATGGAGATCGGTATTGATRMRCAGTACCTGCAGAAGATCACCGCCGAGAGTACCCAACAGCACTGGCAGCCATCGCCGCCATCTCCAACTGCGTCTTCTTCCTCCGTCCCATCGTCTCCTGCTCCGTCTCCCGCTGCTGACGAATCGTCGCTCGTTCGTCCCAAGAAGAAGAAGACTCGCAACGTCACTGTCACCATAGCCGCTGCTGCTTCGAGCTTCCTCTCCGCTTGTCTTGTCGTCGTTTGCGCTGCTGCATACATCTTCCATCGCGCTCGGGCGCAGAGCGCCCCACCACCTCCTCCTGCTCTTCTGGCCCGATCTGAGTCGTCTTTCGTCGCAATGACGTCATCGGAAATCGTTTTCAGGGACCCGCGCCCACGTGTCCTCACGAGATTCTCCTTGGATTCTTTGTCCAGATGGACGATGAACTATTCCCGACCGGTCGGAGAGAAGGGCGCATTCGGCCAGGTGTACTGGGGAGAGTTAGACGACAAGACCCAGATAGCTGTGAAGGTCATGGAGGGTGAGTTGACTCCGCTGAAGTGGGAGCAGTTCGTGACGGAGATCGACACACTCAGCCGGCTGCATCATGCGCACCTGTGCGGGCTGATCGGGTACTGCGACTCCGCGCGGCTGCCCATCCTCGTCTACCCTTACATGCGCGGAGGCAATCTCTCCGCGCGATTGCGCCCGCGCCAGACGTCGAGCGACGAGGCGGGGAACTTACCAGTATCCGGTTCCGGCGAGGGGGGGATGGAGGGGGCGGGGGAAGAGCCTGCGGCTTGCCCACGGGTTGCGCGTCCGTTGACGTTGCTCGAGCGCCTGCGCGTAGCCCTTCACGTGGCCAGCGGACTGCGGTRCCTTCACGAGGATGCGGATCCCCCCGTGGTTCACCGGGACATCAAGAGCAGCAACGTGCTGCTTGACGACGAGGACGACGGCGCGCTGCGCGCGTACATAGGCGATTTCGGCATCGCTGCGCTCGGGGAGAAGGTGCTCGATAACGACCGTGACATGTTTATCGAGACGTCAACGATTAACGGGACCAGGGGATACATCGCGCCGGAGTATCAACGGCTAGGAGAGCTCTCGGCAAAGAACGACGTGTACGCCTTTGGAGTACTGCTGTTGGAGATGATGACAGCGAGGAGAGTCTTCGGTCGCTCCCAATCGGGCGACAGATGGGAGAGCATCGTCGACTGGGCGACGCCGTTACTCTCGAATGGTCGACCAACTTTCAGCGTGCTGCAAGCTGTTCTTGATCCTGCCCTGCTCTTCCAGCAGCAGCAGCAGCAGCAGCAGCAGCAGCAGCAGGGGGATCAGCAGCAGGGGGATCAGCAGTGGCAGCAGCAGCAGGGGCATCAGCAGCAGCAGCAGCAGGGGCATCAGCATCAGCAGCAGCGGCAGCACCAGCAGCAGCAGCAGTACCAGCACCAGCAGCAGCAGCGGCAGCAGCTGTTAGAGCATAGCAGGAACAACATCCCTGTGGAGAAAACCGTCGAGCAGGAGCCCGTCGAGAACCGCAACAGCATCCCTGCGGAGAGAATAGTCGAAGAGATTTTCAAACTCGCCTTTGACTGCGTGGTAGAGGAGCCCACCTCAAGGCCGCCTATGGGTATCGTAGCCTTTCGGATTGGTGACCTTCTAGTATAGAMTCCTTCACCTTTTTCCCTTTCGTTTTTCTTTTTTTTTCCTCTCTTTCCCAGATGGACTATGGATGAGATAGGAAGCCGATCGTTCCAAATTCAACGGATGCCCCGAAGGACAGGCCGGATGCTGATCGGTACAGCGACTACACTGATCTTCGTTCTGGTGTGCCGAAGTACTAGAGCTAGGAAGCTGATCAGATTCTGACGACCTACTACAATTTTTTTAATTTTTATTTTTTAATTATCTTTGTTCTTTGTTGTTTAACAGATCAGATTCTTTTTGCTTTGAAATTCTTTTCTGGTTGTTTAATCAATCAGATGCAGAGGTGGATAGGAACAGATAGAATAGTTATGGTTGATCTTCGTCTCAGGCCGAGAAAGGTATTAAACGATTCCTTAGGGTTGGGTCGCCAGAGAACCGCAAACTAGTAGGAAGGTGTACACAGGTCCCAAGTCACCAAGTGTTATTGAGGGCAACCGTTTAGATGGGCAGGTTCAGTGGAGTCAACTTGAAGTAAGATCTTCTTCTCTAGACTACTGTGAGATGAACAGGGGACACGGCCCCAAACAGCCATCAGTCAGTAGGCTGGAAGGCCCACAGCAATAGGAAGTTCGGGTACCCTTGTTTTGGTCGCAAATCTGGGATAAGCAGTGAAGCTATCAAGAGGGGTCATCTCTGTAAAACTTCTAAGAGGCAGAGGACGCTGGACCTGCTTTCCAGCAAAAGAAACCACTAGTACCTTTGACGGTTGGAAAATACTCGGCCTCCGACCTTTCAGGAGGTCGACGGCAGCCGATCAGATTTATCAACGGCAGGCTCGGCCTCCTAAAAGTTCGGGTGCTGGCCACGACTTCTCGAAAATAGGCTCGGAGGTACTGGTACGCTGGACCTGGTTTCCAGCCTGAGATATGAGGACGCTGAACAGCCTGAACCTGTTTTTCAGCAGCATTCCCGGGTCCAATTGTGAGGTCCCCCTGACTCACTGGCTTCAACCCAATTTTAATTGAAAGAAATGTTTCTGGCAAAAAATTGGCAATAAAAGAGAAGAAGAAGAAAGAAGAAAGAAAGGAAAAAAAGAACTGCAAACTATGGGGGTACTTACACGAGCACTATGGGCTTCGCCACACCACTCCCRAAATGTGAAAAAGACAAAAATGTGGCGGGTGCATCTGGCCATGTTCTAGTGGCAAGTTCATTCCCATTTTGCATATTTCGAGAGTGGTGTGGCGATGCCCTATCTCAAATGTATCTCACCGCATTCACGGCCGAAGCTGTATGCAATTTGGTCCCGAAATAAGTACAAAAGGTCCCAGTGTGAGTATGCCCTATGTCATGTGCTTGCCGTACACAGGCAGTCTGGTGCCAATCGTGCAGCTCACCATATTCTCTAGTTACTGTACACACTGTCAGGGCGTTGCCTGCAAATCATGTACATGGCCATACTKTGAGGGCAGATACTTTTCTGCCGGCTGGTTCTGATATGTTTCCGTCGTGGAATTGTCATGTCCTTTCCCATAGTCTGCTTCCCTCAGTTCCCTGCTCGCCGATTTGTCATATTGCCACCTCTTTGCTGTAACCTCTTTTTTTTTTTTTTTTTTTTTTCCCCCCCCCGTCAACCTCCTCACGAGACACCAGCCGTGTCAATGCTCCTGCCGCAACCCCTGCAGTCTTCCCCCGAATACAACGCACGGTAATTATTGCCGAATTGGTGCATCTTTCCGTCTAAATTATTGCCGAATTGGTGCATCTTTCCGTCTAAATGCAGCTATAATGACCGTACGTTGTATTCGGGGAAGACCGGAGTAGTTTCTCAGCCTAATCTCAGAGTGTACTGACCTGGCGTTGGTCGTAGGCACCAGCGGTAGGCACCAGCCTTAGAGTGTCCTGACCTGGCATCGGTCGCAGGCACCAGTGGTAGGCAGGATATCCCCATCCAACCCTGGGGGAAGCATTACCGAACGCGCCTTGCCTGGATGATGAAGTCACAGCTTCGTGGAAAGACCAGCCCCAAAAGCATGATTCTGGTCTCAATGTTGGCTATGTTCATGCTCCT